ACACCCATACTTCCTATGTACATTTTTGCTAGAAATGTGCAAATCCTCAACCCACTCGTACATATTTCATCCATACAACCAACTGAACTTTCCTGCTAAAGATTTCAATAGCTGCTCAAAACAAATAGTCATATAGTTTACAGCTTTTGAACAAACTGACATTACATATGTTGTAATTGCGGCATCATCTGTCTGCTGAGTGGCATAAGTGCACTTTGTATAAAGGACTTAAACACAAATGCAAGCAGAAGCCAAGCCATAGACCATTGTAACGCCAACGTGGTTTGAATGGCAGTCACAATTCTGGTAGATAACTCGTACTGCTGCTATTTTTAATGCCCTACGTGCTCGTCTTAGTATGAATATTAAAGCATCCTGTCCTGGTTAACATAAGAAGCTGTGAATTTAAGTATTGAAGAAAATTGCTTGAACATTAATAGAAAGCTGAAGCAAACCTACTATGTCTATATTTCAATTAATATTAATTTCATAGGTCTAACACAAGATCTATGCTATTTGTGTCGAGAACTTGAAACTGGAAATCTAGATAATTCGGTTCGTTTCAGTTCACAAATTCGCTGTAAGCCTCATTCGAAAAATTTTTCTTGTGCAATCTAGAATTTTTAATTTTTAGTTTCGAATTTTTCATTTACTGCCAAATGTTAAACACTTTTAGGAAAAGTTTTATTTTCAACAGCATGCATACACTCTCGCCAGGCATTCCTTGCAAACTTTTCCTGTCTCTTTCGCGTTTTGCTATTCTATTGGCATGCGCTACAAGCAGCGTTTTAATTGCATTTTCGTTATCAAATTTTGCACAATGTCGCGCACCAAGTGTCTTAGTAAAGCAGCAAACACACGGTACCGCTATACTACATACTTCGTACATTCACGATATGTCTCTATGAAAATAACGACATAATTTGTTCGAACCCTCTAAGAAAAAATTAACTACAAAATTACTTTTGAAATAACAAATCTTGTAGAATAGACTAAACATTGAATATGAAATGGTTTTGACTTTGCATGAAACTATTGATCTTTCATTTATCGATATTTTCAATATTGATAATTATAAATTTGAAAATAATTGATAATTACTTAAATTTTTTTTTATTTTTAGCAAGAAATCTTAATACTTTCAGTATTGCTTTCAATAAAAATTTGCCTATTTATTTTATATCAGAAATTTCTCGCAGTTTCCATTTTTTTTTTAATTTCCGAAAAAATGTAGAAGGGTCCAAAAGAGTTCCAGTTCCGATAAAATCCCTAGAGAGCCACAACATATTCTATAAACTCTCAAAAATTTACAGAAAAGTTGCCAAAACACCTAAACTCATTGCTTAAAGAAAGATAGAAGTTTTCAGCTAAAAAAATTTAATTTAAAAATTCCTTCTTGCTCAAATCTCTGAGAAAAATAATTCTGAATTCGAGTTTTTCACTTTTCGGCAATAAGCTTATTTAATTTTCCAATTGTTTTAACATTTTCTCAAGAAAGGTTTAAACTCTTTAAAAGGGTAGTTGTGTTTAAATTAAAGGTCTGATAATTGCATACTTCGCATAACTTCGCACAACCATTTGTACCAGTGCAATAAAAATATAACTTAAGAAAATGTGAAGCAAAATCTAAACTAAACAGATCGCTATGTTTTTAAAAGTTCCGTTAATTTCTGGGTAATGGAATACATACAAAATACATACAAAGAACACACGAAATTACAGTTTGAATGTTATGCGAAGTTGTGCGAAGTTATGCGAAGTATGGCCATAAGTCACCCTCACATGCTAAATGACATTTGAAGATATCTTATGAGCACAGATTTGAGCGCTACCACGCTATAAAAAATCGCTGCCACGCTACTCGTATGGACAAGAAGTAAATTTATTCAGAGAAAATCACGGTAGGCAGTGAATAAAAACTCAAAGTATTAGAAAATCGCGACAAAAAATCATCGATTCTGAATGTTTGGGCTGATTGTTTAGGTCTAAAAAATCACAAGTGGAGGATATATTTTATTAATATTGTTGTTTTGATATATAAAAGGTAACAATTCTGTTTTTGGTGGGCGTTGGAAATACATACCTTGAATCGATTTCGCTTTTTTTTCAGGTGTCTCAGGATTGAGTGAATTTTTGCCTTGGTTTCGTTTTCGGCGATGTACATACATAAATCATTCCGAATATCAATTTCATTAGGTAAAAAGATGATAGATAAAGCCACTCGAATTTCGTGCAGGGTTTATGCATACTGATAAACACATTTAGCCGAGCAATCATATGAAGAAAGAGCTGGAAACTTTTTCGGTATTCACCAAACTGCTCATACATGCATATATCGCACACCGTCTTCAAAGGGGACATAACTCCAATTTACACGTTTGTCAGAAAATGCGAAAAACTATTTCTTAGCACATGATTATCATATGGGCAAGGGAGACTTTACCTTAGGTTTTTTTCTGACAGATTATAACAAAAATTTACTCCTGCTTTTGCTGAAAGTTAAATAAAAGTTCTAAGTACATTTTTAGCACAATGTAATTTCAAAAATGCCAAATTTTGAGTTGTGTCTCTTTTGAAGGTGATGTGCAATATGTATGGCTATTTCGATGTAAAAAGATCCTATTTTATGTTATTTAACTTTATAGGAAATTAAATAAAATTTGGGTAAACATTTTTTAAATGCCACTAAAAAAGAGATAATGAAATCTAACTAAAATATTAAGCGAATGCTTTGTTTAATATTGTTGGGCTTCGCTTACATATACAAATGTATGTATAACAAACAAACATACATACATGACTACAAACGCACATACATACAATATCCAATTTAACTCAATCTTCCTCAGTACATATGTACATATTTCCATTGTATGGAAGCTGCTATTCAGTGTTACGTATACGCCACGCAGACCCTCGAGTGGCTTGCAGTTATCAACAGATAGTGTGCAACTCTGTGTGCCACTTGCTTTGTGAGTTTGCTGAGCACTTTTTAGCACTCTCTTGCTTTGTCATAACTCTATAGAATTACATTCATGCATACATTACAGCAGTCGATTTGCTGGTATTCTCCCGTGTAATCGCCTAGACTCAATACATAACTTCGACAAGTACGGACGAAGTTTTAAATTCGATGCAGTTTGGGAGGCGCTTTATGGTAGCTCAATGAATGCATGCAAAATTTAAGAATTAAGGACGAAGAAAATTTAAATTAATACTTGCAATATGAAAAATCTTTATATTAATACGCTAACATACATTTTGCAACCGTTCGTTTGGCGATTCTACCGAACCGATTTCAAAACCAAGAACACCATTGGAAAGCTATTTTTCTGTAGATGAGCATATTTTTAATGGTTCCACAATTGGCCAAAATCGTCGTTTGAAAATTTCCGTATTTGTGTATAGTTGTTGTTGGAACCTACCAAAATTGTGTTGCTTTCGAATTTGTTTCACTTCGTTTTTGAAGTAATAAAGATAAATGTGATGATGAAGAAATAAATGATAAGAATAATTAAGAAAAATATGTGGGCAAAATTGAAGATAAAGACGAAAATGAAAATAATTAGAAATACATAAGAATTAGAGTAACGGAAAAGGTAGGAAAATGTATTGAAATTTTTCGATAGGCATCGAAATAAATTCAGCCATAACAAATGTAAAGTTATCAAGTTATCGAAATTAGTCGAAGTTTATGGTTATCGAAATTTATCGAGTTATTCATGTTTATTGAATTACAGCAATGTATCGTATTATTCAAATTGCTCAATGTTTATTGAGTTGTCGAAATTTATAGACACAGAAAAGTAGTCGAAATTTACGGATATTTATCGAGCTATAAAAATGTATGGAATTTTCGAAATTTATCAAGTCAATGACATTTATAAAGTTATCGATATTTATTGAATTATCATTATTTATAAACGAAGCTTGCCGAATTTCGTAATGCATCGACATATTTCAACCTATCGAGTTATCGCTATTTATCGTTATTCAATTATATGTATATAAGTAATTTCAATTACATATAAGTTTATCGAGTTATGACTGCTTATCAAATTTTAACAGAATTTTTAGAGAAATTTGTCGATAACTTTCGAAAAATATGGAGATATCAAAATTTGTTAACCGAGTTATCGAAATTTACAGACGTATCCAGAGTTTATCGAGTTAGCGATTTATATTGAGGTAGATACATAAATTTTTTAGTCGTCAAAATATATTGAGTCCCTAAAACGACCGAACGACGCGAAATTTATCGAAATCAGTCGAGTTATCGAATTTTTTTTATCGGATTTTAGTCTTTTCTAAATGAGTTCAATTATCGATATGTATCAAATTATCGAAATTTATCGACAAACTGGAATGCATGTAACTTTTAAATTAAATGAAGTTCAATGATGTGCTAAGTTACAAAAACCTCTCCAAGAGTCTTAAAAAACTAGAAATGGGGAAAAAATGATGTTATCTAAAAATTTCTTAATCAGTATGCAGCGCTGAACAAAAAAAAAAAAAAATTCGTACCAAGGCGCATTAAACATGTAGCAGCAGTAGAGCAGCTTAAATGAAATTTTTTGCAAATTATTTTGTCTCTAAACTGTCAAATATTTAAAATTGTTTCACAACAATTCTTGAATGGCAAAATCTATTTGCATAAACGCTGATTATTGGACCGTGAATGAAAGAAAGTCACAAAAATTTTAAACTTTTTTTATTTCAATTTTTGTTGTTTTGTATAATTAAAAAGTTAGATAATTTCTTGACATTTTAGATACCAGTTTTTGCTCCAATGCTACTTCGCATATTTATTTCCAATGCTGGGTTTGTATATTTATTTATCCAAGAAAATTTACAGCAAAAGCAATGCACCTATTTAAGTAACAGAAATTAGGAAAAATATCTCTTGTGATTTTTCCTACTAGCTACTTATAAACTTTAGAATAAATCTATGTTTTTACAACAGCCATTATTTAAACCATCTCTTTTTCCTTCCTTTACAGTCTCAATCTCTATGAATTGATCAAGAAGAATAACTACAATGGTTTCAGCATGAGTTTGATTCGACGTTTTTGTAACTCGATCGTTAAATGCTTGCGTCTGCTTTACAAAGAGAATATCATACACTGTGATCTCAAACCGGTAAGTATGGATGCCATTTTTTGTATGCGTCAAACATCTGTGGTTAAAATATGGAATGCCGAGCGAGACTTTGGGGTCAAACTGTGTATATTTTAGGCAACCGCTGCTTAATTAGGATCCATAAAACGATCTTTGTGGAGGCTATAGGCCACAAAGATACACACAAGGAGTACGATTAACCTATTGAAATTTTAGTTAATGCAGCTCCACTTTACTATAATTAGTTGGACTTTGTTCAAGAAACAAAACTATTATTTTCTACCTTTTAGTTGTGAATAGCGAACACAACCAGAAAAGCTTTTAAAGGTGTTCGAAGCGAGCTAAACTCATGCTTTAAGAATACTTTCAGGAGTCGCTTTAGAGGCTCAATAGCTCCAAAAACCCCCCAAAAAAAATTCTTTGATTCCAGCTTAGTCATCTTACAAGTAATTTTCTATCTAAATTTAAGTTTTCTAAAAATGTTAAGCAGCAAGCAATATCTTTCCAATTTTGGTGCCACTGCTTCATTCGATTTTTTGTAGTCCCTTTTTATTGTCAATCAAACTGTCTATCTATCTGATGGCGGAAATAAGTACTTCTCTATCTGTTGAAATTTACAAAACACGCTTCTTCTTTAAGAAAACCAAACTGGCAAAAAATAAGCCCTTTTTGCTGACTCACCGATTCAACAAAATACCCAGCTTCGTTTTTCCTTTTTTATGTACACAGTTTGTCACTTTCCCATAGCATGAAATGCCAAATACTCTTTATGGCTTTCACTTTATTATCTTTTACAGGAAAATATTCTGCTTAAACAACGTGGCAGTAGTTCAATAAAAGTCATCGATTTTGGCAGCTCTTGCTATGTGAGTCGTAAAATTTACACATACATACAATCGAGATTTTATCGCTCACCAGAAGTGATACTTGGACTGCAATATGGCACCGCCATCGATATGTGGAGCTTAGGTGAGTTGGTAGAAAACAACTGGATTTTTTATAAAAATATTTGAAAACGAACTGCTTTTACAAGCAAAATGAATGAATGATAAATATAATTTGGGCTATGTAGTGTTGTTAGCAAGGCACATTAAACAGGTAGTATCAGTAGAGCAAAAACAACATTTGCGTGTATTTTGTTGTTGCTTCTGGTATCGAAAGTGTTAACAACTGTTCTGAATTTTTTCTTCTAAATCAAAGCGTGCCATGTGAAATACAAAAAATTATAAAAAATTAAAAATTGAAATTGGAAAAAATAAAAATTGATGCAACTTTCTTTCCTAGTAAATTTGTTTGCTTCTCGAAGCATTGATCCATCCTTTGCAAGGCCCAGTAATCAGCGGTCGTGCTGCCGAGTTGGGCGAACGTTCCAAAAGCTGCTATTCAATCGCTTGTTTTGTATGGAAAAAGGTTTCACAAGCAAATGGATTTTAACAACTTATAATTTTCGTGAGAAAAAATTAAAAATATTTGACATTTTGGAGACCAAATAATTTGAAAATAAATCAAATCAGCTGCTCTACTGATACTACCTGCTCAATGTACCTTGGTTGTTAGTTTTGTTACGGTCTATGCACACCTCTCTATTGGGAAGATAGGCTTTCAGGTGGTCTTCAAACTATCAATCAATAGGAAGAGAGAGAACAGGGTAAAAATTTAGAGAACCAATGTGAAATGCGATCAAAGCGGAAAAATTAAGCAAAATATATATTTCGTGTCCTACTTTTAGGCGCAATTTGCCACAGAGCGCGGACGAGTTCGAATCGACGTTAAATCGAATTCATTTTTTCCGTACAAAATTTGTACTCTATTACACAAAATTTAATGAGCTATAAAATTGCTTTATATTTTTTCTTTTAATTCAGATCGAAAAGTATGAAATTTTTAGGAATGCTTGCTAATTTTTTTTTTAAATATTGCACACAGTTTGAAATTCGATTTATAAGGTTTTTGTTAAATCGTTTTGGCGGCTCGTCGGCGAACTGTGATTTTCATCCGACGGCGAGTTGTTCACCAGAACGAGTAGGAAACGACGTCGTTACGAAGTTGTTTGGCAAATTGGGAAATGCAGGTTTATAATTTTTTAGGAATGTTCATTGCAAATCAGAGACAAAGGGCTTATACGATCAGACCCTAGATGGATCGTGAAACTCAGGTAGGTGAAAATGTATAAAGTAGGCAATGACGTTTTCCAGTATCGCACTATTTAATTGCGTTTACTTTGGTGCCTTTACATTCTTTTGTAGACTATGTTAGATAAATTAAAGTCTCAAAAAGTGAAGTCTGTAAAAAGATTATTTTCTCTGAGCTAAGATTCACCCTACACCTGAAAGTGAAGCTGCTTTTGTATTTTCTCAAACATAAAATAACGCAAGGATGTGTTTGTTTTTTTCTCTTCAAAACCACTCACCGACATCTACATTCACAAATGTCATGGAAAATGTTGACACAGAAATGCGTTATGCGTTGCACTCAAATGCAAATTCATATTTCTACTTACGCTAATGGCTGCACTGTGGCTTTGAGATAATATCAAGTAAAATGTTTTACCACACTGCATGTTATATACAACAACAAAAACACCTACCCTGAATGCATTTGTGATCAAAGGTGTAACTTGGAGTGAGAGTGTTGGTAAGCATACACACTTAAGTATATACATATGCAGGTGAGCGCATGCACTTACACCTTCGGAGTGCATTCAGTGGATGCAAGGATAAGTGAATTCTGCGCTTATGGATCTCAGCATATTCATATGTACATACATATGCATGTATTTATGCAGATTTATGTGTACATATGTATGTATATTTAGAGGTGTTCACGCTTAACACAAAAGAATTTTTTCATGATATTTATGCATGTATGCTTGCTTTTTTCCCGCTGCATTAAAAAAAAGTACTTTTATGCAAGGGTAGAAAAAAAAAAAAATATTGTGTGTCATACATTTTTTTGCAGCAGCATACATAGGTACGTGCGTACACTTAACTCATAAGCTATATACTTTTTTCGTGAATTCGGTTTCGTACTGCTTCCGATGACTTTTTGGTTTACTCGAGGAAAAAAAAAAATAATAAAAATTTATAACACCAAAATATGATTTTCATCGCTTAAAGGCAAAAGAAAACGCATCCAACAGAGATGCAAGATAACAAAAATGTATTTAAAAAAAAATATATATATATAATTATAATTTGGAATTTTTGTCGTCCGCTTAATGCGTCGAAATATGAAAAGGGGGTAAACTAAATATTTATCTACACAAGAATAAAAAATAAAATACCGTGCGATGCAACATAAGTTCTACTAAAATCACACAAGCTCTTATGTATATCAAAGGCATAGCCATTAAGTACCAGAGAGCTGCCTGCTTCAGCCAATCAGAAAGAGTCAAAACCTTGCAAAAATTTATATTCACAAAAATATTGAAAATTAAAAATTGTCAAAAAATAGCAAATTTAGTTATTTCCCACCATTTTTAAGCATCTGAGGGTCAAATTTGGACTTGGCCCTAAATAAATCGTATGCGTTAAAATAATGGAGCAGACAGTCGCACAAAAAAAAAAATCGAAACAAAAGAAATGATCTAGAATATTTTTTATTTTCAGTCAAACAAGTGTCAAAATCAGGCCAACATAGAAAATAAGCGAATTTGGTTTTATTATTATTAGCTTGAAATGGTTAATTAAAACTCGCTTTTTTTAGTGTTTGAATATAATTTTGGGCTTGCAGGCGCAGCAACTTGCATGGATAGAGCGCATTCTGCAGGTATAGGTTGATGAAATGGAAAACCAAACTGAACAATATTGACAATAGCATTGCCATTGCATCAGAGCAATTTGTGATCGTAACAAAGCACTCTACAGTTAAAGACTTCAATCAACTTTCAGTTGCATAAATTAAGAGAAAGTAGATTTTAAATAAATCAATTTAAACTGCATAATTACAAATCTCTAAGCAACCCTACTGACACCCTGCAGCGGTCGGCGAAAATTACGCACTATGCCGTTTTAACAGAGTCAAACCTAAGGCAAAGAAGTGTTAAATAGATGAGTGGGTTTTTAGTTGGCAAGAGAGGAGTTGTTTTGTGTCCATAAGCCTGAACCTTATTTTGTATGCCGTCGTCGATTCTGGATAAATTATCCAGACTAAACTTATCCTGAATTTCTCTGGTCAGTTCTAGCTCTTCTTCAAGAGCAGCTGCCGAGTGCACTTCTTGAAATGCATCCCTAGCGATTCAATGCTCATGAAGGTGTTGTTATACGCCCTATGGATAGCGTTTAATCTTCTCTACAGTCAGCCAGTTCCAAAGGAATCAACTCTGCTTCTGGTGGCTAACCGAAAACGCGACATCTGCGTGATCGTGCATTTCCAATGAAGTGTATTTTGTATAATTATTTGTAGGGGAATTAGCCGTAGAGGCTATAGGCCTCATTTTTTGGAACCGTCAAACGGAGCTCTTTTCAGTGGAAATATCTATTATAGTAGCTACGACTATTAGTGCTTGATTATTTCCATTTGCTGTAAATTCTCTACTAGGTTCAATGAATGGAAATACATACATACATACATACATATGTCCATATGTTTTACACTTTCTCCCCATAACTTTGCGTTGCTTTGATTATTGCTGCTCAAGTATTTGCCGAAGGTTGATGCTTACTATGCACTGGATTTCCATTTAAATGTTTTTATACTTCAAAATAAAAGATTTGTGCAAAACAAGGTGAGCGTAAATCTTTCATAAAATGTGTTGCTCACTTTGCGCAGCTAGTAAAGCTGTGCCACGATAGTTACTTCTGATGCTGCCCTTTTTTTAGGTTTCAGAATATCTTTAAAAAAAAAATGCTATTAAAATATTTTGCAAAGGACAACCTTGCTATGAAATTTTAATGCAGTAACAAAATTGCAGGTTGTAATTAAAAATTTCACAAACAGCGTCGAGTTGGCTAAACGAGCAGAAGAAAATCTCGGAGATTTGCTAGCAGTAAAAGCTTTTAACTTTTCTTTTCTATTTTATGTTTATATTATTGTGGTATGTTTATATTTATTTTAAAGGTAGTTTTGAGCTTTATACCACGATTTATGTTTAGAAAAAACAAAAGGAGTAAAACGGACATTACCACATCCTCTCATCAGACTCCTTTTTCTAGACTTCAGGTGGGATCGTAACCGTAGAAGTGATGTGCTTTTACACTTGAGATAACGTATGCCTTGTTGAGATCTAAAAAAAAGCATTCTGTTTTTCCTTGCAAGTAAAACTAGGGACGGAAAATAATCATTTTGCCTTAAATTTTGACTTCTCGAGTTTAAACAATAAACATTAAAATTAATAACAACAATGATTATTATTTTTGAGCGAAAAAAAAAGAAAAATCATAAAATATCGATGAAGCGCTTTTTACGTATATTGATTACCATCCCTGAGCAAAGCAACCAAAAAAACCAACCAAATTGCGATTGAAATGGGATAAGCATTTTTTTAGTTAGTCATCTATATATATATACTTTTTTTAAAAAGAGTTGCAACCATTTAAAATATTATATTCAAATTATTAAAAAAATAAAAAAATCGACCATTACAAAATTTTTGTTTCTTAGCTGAACTATGGGAGGGTTGCCACCTGTTTAAAAAATCATATTAGGTAAGAAAAATATGTATCACCATATGGGTCACCAAATGAAAGGGGTTTCAGAAAGTATTAGTTTGAAAATGTTTTGAAGAGGGTTGCCACCTGCTTGAAATGTCGAAGTTAGTTTACTTATACACAAGGTGGTATATGAAACTTCAAAATATGGATGTCAAACGAAGGAGTGTTAAGAAATCTTTAATTTGAACGTCAGAATATTTTTGAGGTGTTGAAAGAGGGCTGCCACCGGTTTAAAAAGTTTAATTCAAATTATTTAATAAGTTTAAAGAATTATTAAAATATGGGTATAGTCGATTGGGGTTTAAAAAACTTTTATTT